GCAACAGAGCTTTCTAGGGTAATGCCTCACTGAGGCCTTGATTTATCAAGAACAGAATAGCTCAAACAATTAACCGAGCATCCTGCTCTCTTGTAATTTAACAGTGGCAGCAATTTCTCCTTTACAAAAAAGAGAAGTTCTTTGAGAATTTTCCATGGGACATGAACAGATTCAAGGATTTCTGGGAAAAACAGTCTGGCAGACACTGCTGTCAGCTCTTGGTAGTACTCCCCTATGATCTTTCACCTTTCCCTCTTGGTTATGTGGTCTATGCATCCTCTTCACTCCCAGAGGCCACTGTAATTTCCACCAGGCCAACAGAAAGAGAAGAGACAGGGAGAATGCAGGGAGCAGATGTCTCATCAAATCCAGCTGTGTCAGCTGTTTTCAGTATTTTATGTTCTTGATGATGGGTGGCATCCACCCTATCACTGTTCAACCAGATTCTGGTTGCAGTCAATTCACATTTGCACTGAATAACACATAATCTGATTTGGCAGAATTGCCCTACTATCTTACTGTTATTTGTCATCTCTCCCCCCACTCCTTTCCCTTCCCTACTCCTCCCCCCGATATCAAGAAATTTCAAGTTATTTTGAGAATTAAAACCGAGTGGCATGAGCCTTCCTCTCAGGATGCAAACTGTTAGCTATAAGAGATAAATGGTAGTTCATCACCATTTGGACAAGTAAAGGTTTCTGTCAAATGAGCTCTTGTGCAGCTATGGTTTAAAAGGGAAAGCTGGTCAAGTCTCTGAGCCATCATCCTTTTTCTAACGTACTGCTTAATGTTTTTAGGATTTCAGTGAAACAAGAGCTCTTGAGATACACAAAGGAGTACTTAGAAATGATGCTTGAGATCTCCTCAGTATGGCAGTCTTGGTACAGATTTGAATGCAGAAAAGATGGGGGATTGAAACTTCTCTTATAGCTATCCTGCTTAAATAGTGGCAGCATGCCACTAGGGACACTCATTCTTAAAACAGAAAGCACCACCAGTGCTACAAAAATGCATAGAAAAATAGAAACCGCCTCAAATATTTTTCCAGATTGCCTTTTAGATTCAGATTTAATACCATTCATTACTCCTTTATGTTAGCCCAGTGCCTAGCAGTCACAGCCACGGATGAAGATTCAGCTGATCTAAATTTTACATTAGCATTGATCAAAAAGATCCCCAGCCACAACACTCACTGTCTAAATACAAGTGATAATAGGCAGGTACAAACACCTGGGGGAAAGCTAGGAAACAGTAAGATAGCATCAGTCAGCAGCAAAACTGTAGAAAAAATGACAGTGTTTGCACTAGCTAATAATTATTATTTGAAAGATATTACCTCCAAACAAAAATTGACTCTATTAGCCAGGTATTTTGTTACTGTTAATCTGTTATTATTGTTAGCATTACTATTTATTTTGTCACACTGCCTCCCTCAGAGCTTGAAAAATACCCTGCTAACTTGCCTGTGGTTAATAGTGAGCTGAGGAGCAGCCCAGCCTCCTAAAAGCTACAGAATTGAAATTTTCATTTAACGTGAGGAAAAGAAAAGTTTCTAGCACTTCTGCACGTGAAAGCATGGTTTTGAAAGCAAATCAGTGGACTCTGCCTTTGCCTTGCTGTCACTCGTCGGATGCAGCAGCAGAGGCAAGGGGTGCTGTGGGTTTGCACGTTCAATGAGGATGGTGTGAGCTCACTGGGTCACTGTCACACCGACAGGCACGAGGTATCACTGCACTTTTCTACTGCACTTTCTAGGGAAAGTTCCGAGAAAATGAATACAGGGAAAGATTTCGAATAAATAGCATCAAAACGGACTGATTTTCCCAGGGAATTTGTACATACAGGTGCCACGAAGCACAAAAAAGAACACGCGTGAAGCACACAGAAGCACACAGAAGAACACGTAGCCTTAACTGAAAAAAAAAAAAACTTCACCAGCTGGACACATTAAGGAAAAGGGAATCTTCAAATGCACGTATACACCTAGAAGCCAAACGTAGTTACGAATCATCAAGGTGGAAGCTAAAGGGGAAGGCTGATCCCTCCCTGAGTGCTACCCAGCCTCCCGGCAGGAATGTCACCCTCCTCACTTTCCCCCCAGCAGAGACAGGGAGGGGAACTGGGCAGGGTCCCAGTGGAAAGCTGCTGGGCTACTCAATGCTTTATCTTTCCCCTTTCCCTTTTTTTTTTTTTTTGTTTGTTTGTTTTAAATACATGTCTGATTTAGTTGTTCAGATGGTGGGACATCTGGTACAGTTTTCAGGCCCTGCTTTAGTTAAATGATTTAACATCTAGTACACAGGCTTGTTTTACCAGAGGATTTTTTTGCCTCCCACACTTTTCTTCCTAATTGGAACGATGTAAATCACGGGCTGCCGGTGCTATATAAATCATCTATAGTATGTCTGCTATTCATTTAAATAACAAATTGGAACTTTTTATTTCTAATTGTCACATGCTGGCCATAATAAGCTGTACACACATGATAAATTTGGAGGCTTGCTGTGCTCTATTAACTTAGTTTATGAAGCATATGAAGAGGCCCTAGCAAGAAGGAATCCTCCCAGTGCTGCTGCCAGAGGAGCACTACTTTATGTGCTGTAAGATCTCAAGTCAGTTAAGGCATAAGCCTGAGACACACTGCATAGCAGCTCCAGTGCCAGTTCCATACACAGCGCTCCCCAGGTTCAGCTGCTGATAATGGAAGACCCTAAATTAATTAGAAAAGGAAGCGAACTACCTCCATTCCCAGCTGTGTCACTGACTCGTCATGTGCCTTGGAGCCAGCCACTCCCCACAGCTGGGCTTTGGGTCTGTCCCCTTTGTCTGAGAGGTGTGTCTGGAAGCACATCCCCAGCTCTGGAGGAGAGCCCTGCTGTGGGTGGGCAGTGCTGAAGCTCAATAGGCACCCAGTTGCAAACCCAGCTATCAGGGACTCTGGTGTACCCCCCTCACTTTGCTACTATAACATTAATAATAATAATTGTACCAACGGGACTTCATGAAAAAGATTGCAATAAATTTAATGCTGTGTCAGCTGATCCCACGCAGTTTAAATATCAGCACGTCCAAAATTAAGAAAATAAACCTATTCTTTTCACATAGCAATTATTTTTTTTAAATGCTACTTTGTCTCTGAATTTGAAATCTTGGTGTTCTTTTGACTAGGAACTAATGATCCGAAAGATGTCACATAAAGCTTTGGGTTTTTTTTTCCGTTAATGAGAAATAACAGTATAGAGTAGGCACACTATCTTTAACAAGGGAACTTTTTCATGGTAGACATACGACTTGATAAAAGGCCTAAACATCCATCTCTCTGCTAATTCTTCATTTGGGGATTCTTTTAAGAGTTTTTGAAGCTGTTTTTAAAATAAAAAGTTGATCTGGTCCTTATGTGGGCACAGAAGCCCAGAGGGAGAGTCCTTAGCCTCATCACCTCTGCTTCCTCACTCAGCTTCTTTGGCTCCACCTGCCAGAAGACTGAAGCAGGGAAAGGACACTGCCCCCAGCTCTGCATATCTTCATCCACACTTTCTAGTGGTTAACATGGTCGTGGGCAGTTTTGATTTGTGCCAGACAGCTTTCTCCCCATCCCTGGCCATGCTTCATGGGTTAGCAAGGACCAGCAAACTCTCCCCACAGGCAGTGTGGATATGGCCACCCTGTCTGGAGAGGAGGAAAGCCATGGTGGACATGGCTCTCTCTGGGCGAGATTCATCCCAACCTGTAACACTGACTGCTACAGGGACCTGTGGGGTCCCTCCCTGCAACAGCTATCGACACAGCCTGCAACAGGACAGCCATACAAACAAGCTTAAGCACGCCAGTCCCCCAAATTTTGTCCTTTCTATCCCCACTGCAAGCTATTGAAATATTCCCCATGTTTCAAAACAGCTGAGCTTGGGATATCTGCAGTGAGCACTCAGCACCGCCTGAGCCCATGCTGCACTGATGGCACAAAACACAGCTGGGGTCCACGTGAAGGCAACTAGCAAGACTTTAAGTTTTGTCACTATGAGGTGCTTCAAATCCTAAACCTCCTCTCAGGCTGGGAGCCTAGGGAAAGCCTACAGGAGTAAGCTTTACTGCTCACTCTTAATGGATTCATTCATTTACATGTGCTGAAAATCAAGCAATTTTCATGGATGTAATTTTAGACTGCAGGAGAAACTAGGTGTGACACCCAGTGAGGTATTTAGAATAACCAAGTAGTGTCACATAGTATCAAGCTGATCGCTAGAAGGAAGGTCCTTGACAGGAGACAGCTCTTGGGTCAGCCTGCTAAGTCATCTTCAGGCCACACAAGTCCTAAAAAGGATCAGAAATTGTTCCAGGGACTGCATTGGTCTCCTTCAATTTGCTGCCAAAGCTTTGTGTGCTTGGATCCTAATAGGCAGGGAATTCACACCTGGAGCTGCGTGAGTGGGAAAAAGCAGCAGTTACTCTAATTTCCACCCTGGCATTTCCAGGTGACTTGGGAAGAGCCTTCTTTTGCTGTGGGAAAGGATTCGGAGCCTCCGTTTCCTGCACAGCCAAACTTTTCAGTTCAAAAGCCATGACGGATGCTCCTGTTCTACACACAGCATCCCCCCGCCTTCTCCTAGGGCACCTGGGCAGCTCTGTACCTGCTGGAGCAGACAGATTGCAACCTGCCTTTGTTAGGGGGATAAGCACACCATCTACTCTTCCAGCTCACTTCAGCTAAGGGGAGGCAGAAGAGTGTAAACCTCATATTAGCCAGTTGAGAAGAGCAGGCGAGCAGTTCCTGCTTCCCTCCCAAAATTCAGAGCCTAAAGGATGAGAAGGTTGAAAAGGCCCTAAGCCATAAAACACGTTTCTTCTTTCTCTTCTCTCTCTGCCTTGCAGGCTGCTGCCCAGCCCCCCGTGGGCAGAGCAGGGTGTGTTCCTGCCCACCCATCCCCTGCTCTGCCACAGCTTTCCCCAGGCATTGCCGGGGGGGAGAAGGGGTTCAGGCCAGAGGGTGGCTCCTCATTTACCTGCTCTGGTCCCAGTTGGCGGCAAAAAGGACGAGGATCTTCCTGCCGTAGTGGTCCAGGTTGGCCAGCCCGCCGGGGAAACCATCCTTCAGCGCCTGCTTGATGCCCGGGTCCGTGGCCTTGAAGCTCTTGAACATGTCCAGGTTCTGCTGGCGATACTCAAAGTACTGGGCCAGGAGGCGAAACGCCTCGAAGTGCTGAAACTTCCTGGCCCGCAGGAACCGCAGGATGAAGGCATCGTCGGTGCGGAGGAAGCCGATGTCCGGCCGGGTGATGACCATGTCCCGCACCTCCTGGATGTCCTGGTGCAAGGTGTCGGGGTTCTCGTTCAGCTCCAGCCGGGCTTTCTCCAGAGTCTCCGGGGAGAGACCTGCCTGCAAATGAGTCATGGCGCTGCCCTCCTCCTCCTCCTCCTCTTCCTCCTCCCCGCCTCTGCTGCCTGCGCTCCTCAGCCTCCCTCCCGCCTGTCCCCCGCAGCCGGGGTGCCCCGGTACAACCGGCCGCCGCTCCCCGGCCCCGCCGGGCCCCGAGAGAAGCGAGCGGCTCCCGGGGACGGGAGGGGAGGCTGGCACCGACACCGGCCCCGGGCTGCTGCCGGGGAGCCGCGTTATCTCTCGGACGGAGCTCCCGCCCCGCAGCGGGGTCCGACGCGCCGCATCATCCCCGCAGAGCCCGCTCCGCCGGAGGCGCCGAAACCCGCCGGGGACGGGGCCGCCGGCTGGCGGCCGCCC